CCCGCGCTTACCGAGCTCCAGGCGAGCCATGCCGAGAAGTCGCATTCCGTGCCCGCCCCCGCGCGCCGGCGCACCGCCCGCTAGAAGCCGAGGGCGGGACGTGGGCGCGGCAGAGCTGTAGCGGCGGCGGCGCGGACTGAATGCGACTTCTCGGCATGGCTCGCCTGGAGCTCGGTAAGCGCGGGCCTGCCATCGGAGGCCGGGCTGGGGTTGGCCGGGGAAGTCCCGAGCCGCGGAGCAGGCCCGAGTGGAGGGAACGAGGTGCCAGCCTGGCTTGGGGACTTCTTGGCCGGCGGGGAGGGGGAAGGCCCAGCCGGGCCCTCTGCAGGAGGCCCAGGGTAGTCGGGACTCACTGCTTCTGCTCACCCCGAGCGCCGGCCACCACCGGTCCACCTCAGCCTTTACTTTCAGACGCGGGTAGCAGAGGTCTGACCTGAGATGCGGACTGAAGGTAGGAGTGCCTTCCGAGGGAGGCCTCACCTTAATGCCTTTGAACGTCCGCCTAGGTGCCCCGGAGTGATGGTTAGCGACACAGTGGATGAATTTTGGGGTTTCCTCCTTCCCCTGCTGGCTTTGTTCACGGCCCTAGAGTCTTTAGACAGTACTTAACGCAGCCTAGTTCATGACTGGAAAGAAGGGAAGATAGATAGGTCCCTGCACTCCCTCCTGTTTCATTCGCTGTTTGTGACCGGCAGCGTGTTTTCTCACCTCTCTACCACTGTTCTTTTTATTTTTTTTTTTCTTTCAACCGTGCTCACCCAATGAGCCGTAGTACATGTTTAAGAAGTACTTGCTGGGTTACCGTAGAGAGCAGATGAGAGGGAAAAGATTTAATCTCTAGTTTTCCCCGTGAGTGGCTGTGGAAGTGAGCCTATCAATTAGCTCATTATTTTAATCAGGTAGTCAGCCCTCTTTTGGACACCCTGCTGCAGGCGGGTGCCAGGCAGAAATATTACAGGCGTGAATTTATAACACCCTTAACGGCTGCAGAGATTGAATAGGAAGCCACAGATGGTCAAACCATCTGCACGCATGGAGCGTGGACCCCGGGAGTTCTGTTTCCCGGTGGTGCTCATCGTCACTGTAGAGTGGCCCAGCGGAACTTGATGGGTCAACACTGACCTACTCTACCATAGGAAATCAGCTCCCCACCATCCCCACTCCAGGAGGGGGTGATGCTGGGAGAGCAGATACAAGGGGACAGTGTGTTTGATCCTTCCTGACCCTGGAGCCATCAGTTGGTAGACTGAGGCAGGATTGAGAGGTTCTGCTTCTCTTGGCCACTTGGCCAGGCATCCACAGGAATGGATGGTGATTCCATGCCTCAGAGAGGGAGGCATTTCTTTTGCATGGGCAATTTGTTTTTCCTAGACGTTGTGGTTAAGTCTTTTGTCTGTACACTTTTGCCTAGTTCTCCAAAGAGCTTCCCTTAACAGATGGCTACCCAATTGAAACAACTTATCAAAGATCTAAGGCCTGAACACCTTAAAAAACTTAAGAGTGACCACCAGTCAGAAGTAGATTGCAACAAGGTTCTAGTGTGTTGGAGGTCATTGTCCATATGACTTTGTGTACAGAGTTTCCATAACTTCTGATTTTTTTCTCCAGCTCTGAAATTTTCATAAGACATTAGTGTATAGAGCGAGTATGAATTCATAACAATTTCATAAACAAGATAAACTTGTAAAGCAGTAGAACTCACTGGCCATGTCTTTAATCCCAGCACTCTTGAGACAAACTCTACTTGTCCCTTGGCCAAACAGCACCAGCCAATAGAAATACAACGATGCAAATGCTCTGTGTAATGTAATCCTAAATTTCCTAGGTACCACACTAAAGTAGAAGAGGTAACGACACTTTGAGTTAATTTTATGTAATGACCTCATTTATGGTGGTAACCCCATTGGATTATACGCCCTAATGATGTCCTAGCTCTTCCTGTTTGTGGCTTTGTCGCAGTGTGAGATCGTCTACATGCATGCTTTACAGGACACATCCTGTCAGTGAGCCCCACTCATCTGTACTTATCCATCATGATTTCAGCACATGCTCAGTATGAAAATATTAATAAAATTTGTTTCTATTTTCTCTCCAGCTCTTTGGAATCCAGTATGTTTGTTGTTTTTACCCTTGGAGAACCTTTCAGTTTGGGGTAATGACACATGGCTGATGTGGCTGATGGCTTCCACAGTGGATAGTAGCTTGAGGGACCAGCCCCAGTGACTGAGCCGGCATTTAGAAATGTACTCATCCTGTCCTGCTCTGTGAATTAGATGGAGGCCTTCCAGAGCCCCGCTGTCACCGACTCTGGATTCCCGTCCTGACTTGGGGCATTTTGTTGAGATTTTCAGTGTCCTTCGCCCCTCCTGCTGTGCACATAGGTCCACACAGATCGGTCCCATCTCCACACCAAAGCTCCCCTCTATTCTACACAGCACTTGCTCACCCCAGTTCCTCCAGTGAAACTCACTGTAAGAGCTGTCTGGACTTACTGCCTCCTCTCTCCAATCCTCTGCCCACTAGCTGCTGGTTATTTTTACTGACAGGTGCCCAGGTGCTCACAGACAACTTTGTCATTAAATGCAGTAGCGAGCTTCAGCCTATCTTGCTGTCCCCTGGTAGTTTGTTGATTGTCTCTCAGTCCATACTTCTTATTTGTGTGACATCACTCTTAGTAAAGGCCACTTTTATTTCAATAAGTTTCTACAATATTGGCCCCATCTATAATTCAAATGCAATATATTTCTTAGACATTTATATTTGGATATATTAGCTATACAGAATAGTGGGTGTCCTTGTGACATTTTCATGCATGTACATAATGTACTTTGGTCATATTCACACACACACACACACACCCCATTACCCTTTCCTATTTCCTGTCCCTCTGGTCCCATTCCTTTCTCTATAGTTCCCTTCTGTTGTGTGTTTGTGGTGTGGGAGTGTGTGATGCATTCTCTTGTGTGTAGAAATGTATATGCCTGTGCTTGCATATGCAGAGGCCAAAAGGGCATGTTGAGTGTCTTCCTCTATCACTCTCTACCTCATTCCCGTGAGAGAGGGTCACTAAGTCAAAGACTCACCTTTCAGCTAGGCTGGCCAGCAAGCTTCCAGGATCCTTCTGCCCCTCCCCTCCTGTCCCCCCATGGTGGCGTTACAGGCATGTAAAGCCGTGCTCACCCCTTTATGTGGACAGTAAGGGAGCAAACTTGGATTGTCATGCTTGCATAGCAAGTGTTCTTAATTCACTGAGCCATCTCCCCTACTTTTGCATCTTTAAAAAACAAATTGGATTCCATCAGATGCAGTGTTCTTGAATAATGTATCCGTTTATTCATGCCAAGGCATACATAACCAACGGCTTGGAAACAGAAGTTAGAGAGCCACTCTGCCACTTGATGTGTTTGCATTGACCATACGTGGGTCTTTTCTTCCTGTGTTTGCTTATTTACAAAATGAGGATAATTCCTAGATTCTAGCTGTGAAGAATCAGGCATTTCATTTGACATTGGAAGCAGCGACTGACATGATTTTGAGTGATCCATGCCCTTCATGCCCAGCACTGCAAGAGGAAGGACCCAAGGGCAGGGCCAGGCCCAGGCTGTCCTCTTCCACAGGGTCCTTGGGTTGGGGAGGATCCTGTACTGTGGAGCGAGCTGTCACTGCTGTGTTTTGTCGTCTGTCCAGGTCTGGTGAGCTGTGCCTTCTTTCTGGCAGTCAGTGGTCTGTATTCCTCTAGTGATGATGTCATCGAGTTAACACCATCAAATTTCAACAGAGAAGTCATTCAGAGCAATAGCCTGTGGCTTGTAGAGTTTTATGCTCCATGGTACGTATTATAAAATAGTTACGCTTGTTAAAGATTGACCGGTTGATTTTTGCCTTTATTTTGCCATAGCATCACTTGCTCCAACTGACCTGTAATTATATAGTCCAGGCTGGCCTTGAACTTGCTGAGATCCACCTGCCTCTGCCTCCCCAGTGCCAGGATTAAAGTTGTATACCATCATGCCCAGCTATTTTTAATTGTGTTTATGTGCACATAAGTACAGGTGTCCTGTGTGGTCTAGATTGGTCTGGAACCCTGGAGTTGTGTAGCTCAGGCTGACCTTGAACGTATATGTTCTTGCCTCAGCATCCTGAGAACTGAGATTACAGATCTACGCCACCATCTCCAAATAGTTGTAGACTAGGAGACTGGACTGCACATGTCAGTCTCTTGAAAGCCTTAGAGATTGTGTCAGTTGTGGGGTGGTCTGGCAAGGCATCTCAGTGGGAAAAGGTTCTTACAGCCAAGCATGATGACCCGAGTTCAGCCTCGGGACCCACGGTGGAGCGAGGCCTGGGCTTTTCTACGTGCACAGAAGGCAGTGCTGCACTGCGCACTGGGTAAAGCCTGTGCTGGAAAGGAAAGCAAAGGCGCAGCAGTGGGAACTGTGATGTGTGCAGGGCTGTGGTGGCCGTAAAGCGGCAGAACATGAGACCCCTGAGAGCAGCTGACTGCCAGCTCCTCTGAAGATGAGCTAAACTCAGAAGTGAGCAGCATCTTGTCAGCTTCGGAAGGGATATTCTTAGTCACAACCAAGGCAACTTTCAAAAGAGTTTATTTGGGCTTATGGTTCAAAAAAGAGAGTCCGTAGTGGTGGAGCCGAGGTGGCCGACCAAAGGCATGGTGCTGGAGCAACAGAGACAGCTGACTAGAAGTGGCATGAGCTGAAACCCTCAAGGCCCACCACGGTGATACATCCTCAGGCAAGGCTGCACCTTCTCAGCCCACCCAGACAGCACCCCCAGCCAGGCACGGAGTAGCACAATAACCAGGACTACAGGGAGCATCACAGGATATGACACAAGGCAGGTTCTTATCAAGTTGCCCAGGCTGGCCTTGAACTTGTTCCTTTGCCTTGGTCTTCCCAAATAGCCGGGATCACGGACCTGTACTGCCAGACCTGGGCTCATGGCATTCTTACTATCGGATCCTGAAGTCCTGAGTGGGTGCATTTTAGGATGTGCCTGCTGAAAGTTCTGTTGTGGATGCTGAGACTGTTCTCGAAACTTAGCACTGCTTCTTGGGAAATTACCTAAGGGTCAGTCTTAACGTTCATGCCAACACAATTCTTTGACTATCTTCTAAAGATTTTAGAATTTATTTGCTGGTTTCTATCATTAGCCCATCTGAATTAGCCTGGCAAATAGTACTCATACAGGCTAATAAGTTATTAAATGGCTGTGGGGGGCGATTTTGCACACTCATGTGGGTTTCTTATGTCATGGGTAGTTCATTTGTTTTTGAGAGCTGCAGCACAAGGAAACATCCCCAGGAAACCTAGCAGATGGTGTGATCTCGAAGGCAGGTTCTGGATCTGGTAGGCAGCGAGTATGCCGGCAGTTTTATGTGTAGTGTTCTGAGAAAATGTCTAATTAGAACAATTGCTTTCAGCCTTTTTATACTTGGTTTCTAACATCCCAGAGACAACCTCACAAAGTAAAGACTTTAGATGTTGAACAGAGAAGAGTGGGGCATAATGGCACATTCTGTTAGTTCTAGCGCTCCAGAAGCTGAGGCAGGAGGATTGTGAGGAGTTCCAGGTCTACATAGCAAAAACTTTTCTTTAAAACACTTGGGAGGATCTTAAGTTCAATGTCAACCTTTGGACTACATGAGACTCAAAAAGAAATGAAGGGGCAGAGTACAAATTGAGGATCTGTCTACAATGCTTGGGGCCAGAAGTATTTAGAGTTTTTCAGATTTTGAAGTATTTACACAGATTTTACCCACTGAACATCTCTAAAACTCAAAAACGCAGAACTGGGTGTCATGTAGTGCTTCAAGGGTTTCCTGTCTGGGTGGTTTTGCTTGTTTTATACTTTTTGCAGTGCTGGGAGTTGAACCAGGACTATGCTCACACTGGGCCCTGAACTGCATCTCCAACTCTGGATTTAAAATTTCAGGATTATGGATACTTATCTTGCTTTTCTTTTCTAAACTAATAAATACCAAGAAGCATCAGCAAGTCTAACAGCTATGTAATTCTAAAGGTGTTGTGCACATAAATGATGTTACAATGTCTTCAACAATTGTAATGATAAGAAAATAGCTGTGGTTTTTATTTATGGAAGCCATTCAGTAGTAGTAATCTCACCAATTTTGTTTAACACCATGAATAAAAACCCAGAGACAGAAATTGGGGTTCAGCCTGAAGGTCAGAAAAGCAAAACAGACAGCCACTGGCTCTTACCCCTACCTCAGTCTGAAATGGCAAATCTGTCTCCTGGAATCTCATAATGAGACTGAATGAGAGCTGCCTCCTCCCGTCTTATATTCCTCTCTAGGGCTGGGATTAAAGGCGTGCACTGCCCGGTTTCTATGACAAACTAGCGTGGCTACTGGGATTAAAGGTGTGTGTCACCTCTGCCTGGTCTAAGGATGACCAGTGGGGCTGTTTTACTCTCTGAACTTCAGTCAAGATTTATTTATTAAAATATAAGTGAAATATCGCTATAACTGTAGATGTTTACATTTATAATAGAACTTCTAGGTTTCTGTTATAAGTTAGCAAAAATGGATTAATTTTTATGTGGTACTTTGGTCTGTGCATAGGGCCTCACGTCAGATTGAAGCAGTGTGTGCTCTAACCATTTAATTTGAATCCTCCTGTCTTAGAGAAACCGAAACCTAAGCCTTGTAAATATTTGACTTCTGGATTTTAAGTGTCTCACCTAAGCAGCGAAGCATACATAAATGTGTGTATTAATATGTTAAAGCACCAATTCAAGGCACTGCTGCAGAATAACCTTGCTTAAAATGTTGGGACTGAGTTCAGGTTCCTCTAGAGTATTAATTACGTGGTGTCTTCATGGGAGCATGGTGGGGCAGGGGCTCCTTCAGAAAGGTAGTGGCCCAGGCAGGCCAGCACTGGAATCGAGTCATTCGCTGGCCTCTGTTTCTAGAGTGAAGATAGTAGTGTTCTGTCCTCAGCTCTACACAGACCCAGTGGTGTCCTTAGAGACCCAGGTAGAAGAGACGAGGAAAATCTTGTTAAAATATTTACCATACTGCCTGTTAGTAAACTACGCAGTCTGCATACAGTGGGCATTGCACGGCCGTGAGATTGACCTTACTGGATAGTAGAAGTGGATCTGTTCCTGTCACACAGTATGCTGTGTTGTTATAGTTCACAGAACATTGTGTTTGTTTGGCCTTTGAGAGAGGATCTCGCTGTGCTTGTCTTAGCTGTGCTGAAATTTACCGCGTAGATCAGGCTAGCCTTGAACTTGTGGTCCTGCCTCTGCCACCCAGGTATTGTCCTGGCAGGTTTTTCCTGCCCTGCCTGACTTACAGAAGGTTTTGGTTGGTTTTACGGAATTAGTGCCTGCAAAAGATTTGCCTGTGTGATTGTTTGTTAAGCGGTTATGGTTTGCTGGAGTTCTTAGATTTATAAAACGCTGAGTACCCTAAGTACAGTCACTGGGCCTGTTGGTCCTTGTCCACCTTGCAAGCTCCCGGCCCTGTGGGGTCCCCCACTGGTGGCTGCTTTATGAACTGAAGGTCAAAGGATTTAACTGTCAACCTTATTTGTGTTTTGACTCTTGTAGGTGTGGTCATTGCCAGAGGTTAACACCAGAATGGAAAAAAGCAGCCACCGCATTGAAAGTGAGTATCTGAGGCGGCCCATTCACTGTGTGTTTAAATTTGAAGATGGGTTAGTGTATGCTGGGAAGATAATTTGCATGGTGAAGTCCTGAGTGCTGGTTGTGCTGCCAAATACCATGTGGGGGAAGGGTGTGGGACAGATACTTTCTCATTGTCATCTGGTTTTATTCCATCTGATTCCAAGCTAAATTATGTAATTATCTTAGCCATGCTGGTTCTGAAGGCTTTGGTGTCCAGTTGTCCCCCAGAGACACTCCGCATTGGCTGGGCTTGCCCTTCACTCATGGTGCAACAAATGCTCTTCTTTCAAGGCTAACCTTGAAAGACCTCAGTGGTCCTTGTAACTTCACTGAGCTCTTTTTACCTTGTGTACTTGAGTCTGACAGGGCTGTAGGGTAGGGAAGGGGTGACCTGTCTGTATTTCCTCAGGATGTTGTCAAAGTTGGTGCAGTGGACGCAGATAAGCATCAGTCCCTGGGCGGTCAGTACGGTGTCCAGGGATTTCCTACCATCAAGATATTTGGAGCGAACAAAAACAAACCAGAAGATTATCAAGGTAAGGACTCTTCTACTCCATTCCCCTGTAGGCAACATTGTCTGTAACCAGTCAGCCTGGCTCCCGCAGGGACTTGACCTTGCTATCTGTGCTGATGGGCAGCACTTAGTACCTCCTCCAGGTTTTGAGTATAAGCTTGTAGGTAAGGAGGTGTGTCCAGGCACATGTGTGCGTGAATGTCAGTTCTTTGGGGTGGTTTTAGGGCCCACTTAGCTCCATGCCTTTCCCATTATAGCTGTTCCATATTTGATGAAGATCTGTTTTCCTCCCTTTATTGTAAGACTAGAGACTGGCAAAACATACATAGTATTTGTCTATAGTCTTTATGCCTTAACGCATGCGCCATTGACTAGAAAACTATTATTGGTGTCATAAACTATTGATAATAGGTACTCCACATTCTCCCAGTTCTAGAGATAAGAGAATTGTGTGTGTCTGTTAGGAGTCACTGAGGCAGCTAGAGAATTCTGGCCCTGAATTCCCAGGATTAAATGTTATCTTAGTCACACTGCTCTTAGAGCACCACTGGGGATAGGACTGGCATGTCTATTGGTGAGCTGTGTTTGTACATGCAAGGTTAAAGATTTGCTAAATATGACATAAAGTAACTGATTATTGCGTATGTGAACAGAAGTGCTTATGGGCTGAATCCCAGTCAGACTCGGCCTGGGGAAGTCCCAGGGCTATGGAATCTAAAGAGTAAACTCAAGGCACAGCCTGCTATAACTGCCCCGCCTCTCCATGCTTGGGCCTCTGGTCCACACAGCACTTACCTGCTCTGGCCTTGCTGCTTTTCTGTAAAGGGGCTACCAAAATGTAATTGAAATAGTACATGCCAAGGGTAGGGGGTGCATACTTGGTAATAGTCTGCTTGGTAAATCTCTAGACTTGGGGGTCAGAATCCTTGGAGACAAAGCCTTGGATGCTCGGTTTCTTCTTGATGATGAGTTTTGTTTTCCCGAGTAAGCATGTCTGTCTTTGCTTCAAAGTGATAATTGGTTATAGCTTTGCTGCTTGACGGAGACAGAGTACTTAGAGCATTCTGCTATGGCTGTGGTTATTTGTAAGTAAGGTTGTTATTATACTTATTTATTGGTGGCATGAATGGACTTCAGTGCTCATATGAAGTCAGAACCATTTTCAGGAGTTCTCTCAACTTCTACCACGTGGATCTCAGAAACTGAATTCACGTTGCCCGGCTTGGTGCCAAGCACTTTTACCTACTGAGCCATCTCACCTGCCCTAAATAAGGTGTTTGGGACACAGCCTTACCTGGGACTTCATGGATTGGCAAGGCTGCTTTTGCACCACAACAGCAGAATCAAGTGGTTACAAGAGGCAGATTGACCCCGGAGATAAATAGTACTTGTATGCGAGTGGCCTATTGTGGGAAGAGTGGGTCAACCCTCTTTCCCTAGATGGGTGCTCCTTGGGTATATTCTGTTCCATGGGGTGGGACAAGGACACTGCCTGGGATATAGCACTGTCTGTGGTAGGGATGGAAGGTTGCTCTCATGTTGAGTCTGGCACTTCGGTTAACTGAGCGCTTCCTAAGTGTTCTCTCCTTACAGTTTAGTAGGTGCGTGACCATAAAGCAGCTTTCTTTCCCTATCCATGTGTCCTTTATAAACCAGGCAGTCAGAGACCAACAGTAACTAACGGTAAAGTAGAACTATAGAAGTTAGTGACTGCGGTCTCGCTTCAGAGAGCTAAGACAAACCGTATTCTTGGACTGTGGCTGAGTGGACCATAGATGATAGGAGCCACAGGTCAGGTGGTTCCTCTCGTGTTTCCCTTCTGTGATGTTGGAGCTCTGTAGAGCTTGGCCTATCAACTTGGAGAGTGGCTTCAAGGCATGTATTCCGTGTCCTGTGTCCTCTCTTCCCACACACTCTGTCTACTCTCTGTGTCCTGTGTTACTCTCTTCCCATACTCTCCTGTCTATTCTCCATGTTGTAGAAGAGGTGTGTTGACTTTCTCCCCAGTACTTGGGAAGTTTTCCCGTCTTCCTGACCAGCTGTAAGCGTGTCTTCCATGTTCATATTGTCCATTCAGTAGCATGAGGTTTTCTCATTAGAAGATGTGATTTTTCCAGACAGTGGACAGGGGACTGAAGAAACTTGCATTTTGAGTGGGGAGTCTAGGGCAGAGGGCCACAGTTGCTGACAGATGGGGAGTTACGCGCCCCTTGTGCAGAAGGCCAGCCTGAGACTGCCTGTCCCTTGCTGACTCACAGGTGGCAGAACTGGGGAAGCCATCGTGGACGCTGCCCTCAGTGCTTTGCGCCAGCTCGTGAAGGATCGCCTTGGTGGGCGGAGCGGTGGGTACAGTTCTGGAAAACAGGTAAGGCTGTGTGGTGCCTGACTTAGTGTGTCTTGGTTTTCTGCCTGAATGTGTGTGTTCCTTACAGAGGGTGCCATGTAGCCTAGGCTAGCCTTGGATTCTCTTTGTGGCCAAGGATGACCTTAAATTCTTCTATTTCTACCTCCCGAGTTCTGGGATTACAGGAGTGTACACTCTCTACCCAGCTGTTCTTTGCCATCCTTAGAGTTACATAGCAAGACCTACTTAGTCACAGTCTGAGAATGACCCTAGCCTCAAATGGGGAGTTGGAACTACACAGTGAAGAAGCTCCGTGCGGGGGGGATCTCATGACCTTCACAGTTCCAAGAGGAGAATAGAGTCCTGACTCACTTTCTAGACTCTTTTTGTGAGAGTCGTGAGTGTGTGGAGTGTCCTGCAGGGTAAATAGGAAGAGGAAGACGAGTTCCTGTTCTAGGATTTGCGCCTGGCGTGCTTCTGTATAAATGCAAAGCTTGACTGTGATGCGCCCTCAGAGATGAAGCTGTTTATAAAACGGCTCTCTGCACTAAGGGCAGACCAACTTAGACAGCCTTAGCCCTACTCGTAGGTGACATCGTTGCCTTGCCTCTGCCATGGCAATTAACCTGGCGACAGGCAGTAGCATGGCAGATTGATCAGCACCGTAGGTCTGCTGGAGAAAATTCAGGTCTAAGGGTGTAGATTCGTGGCCAAGTCCTTGCTGTCATCAAGTCCTGGAAAGATGAAACACTGGTGTGAGCTATTTGGAGGATCTGGACTGCTAATATGAACATGAAGAAACAGTTGTGTCTGCACAAAGCGCTCTGCTGGAGCCTGCGTTCAGCTTCAGCCGTGTTGTGGGCATTGAGCGCTTCATAAACACAGCAGGTGAAAAAATTCAAGGCAGATCATACGTTGTTCTGAATGTAGCAAGAAGTGTTGAAAAGTAAGACTGCTACCAAGCAAAAATCATAGTAAGGAATGCTTCCCATTCAATCATTGGGTAGCGGTTTTCATTTATTTGCTAATGAGCAAATCGAAAACTTGATTGCCTTGTAAAATGATTGTTTGGTCTGACTTGCAGTAGTGGTTTTCATTTAATATTTCCTGTTGCTGTGACAGGGCAGGGGCGACAGTTCAAGTAAGAAAGACGTGATAGAGCTGACGGATGACACCTTTGATAAGAATGTCCTTGACAGTGAAGATGTTTGGATGGTTGAGTTTTATGCTCCATGGTGCGGACATTGCAAAAAGTAAGTGCCTTTGATCAAATAGGTGTATTCAGTCATGGTGCTTCCGGTAATAGTCATCCGGCTACGAGCTGTGCTATTCCCAGATTCAGCCAAGGCCTGGCTAGTGTCCAGATTGGGGGACAGGTGCATCATCCCTTTGGGGAAGCCACCAAGATGTGTTTGAAATATGAAGGCCAGAATGTAGAGCTCAGTCGGTGTGAGGACCTGTGCTGTGGGCTCACTGTGCTTCTAAAATGGCTTTCTGTAGCCTGGAGCCAGAGTGGGCGGCCGCAGCCACAGAAGTGAAGGAGCAAACGAAGGGGAAGGTGAAGCTGGCAGCTGTGGATGCCACCGTGAATCAGGTTCTAGCCGGCCGATACGGGGTGAGTGTGTTTACGACTCATTTACTTGGAGAAATACTCAAGATTTTCAACAGCTGTTTGACCCCTGACTTGCCTTCGAAGCAGGCAGGGAAGTGTTTAAGCACTTGTAGATGAAGAGATGGAACTCGGGACTGGTAGGTTACTACTGATCACTCCACTTGGCCTCTGCTTGCTCTGGGTTTTACAGGTGTTCTCATTTGACTTTTGAAAATCGATCTCCTTGTTCTGAAGTATTAAATACCAGAGCTTGGACAGGGTTTGACTGCACTCCTCAAGTAATGAAACTCTGACCGTGTTTCCAGCTGGGAACTCCCCCTACCCCAGTTTTGATGATTTAAGCCGTGGTGTATACTAGGCAAGTGCTCCACCACTGTGCCACATTCCCGGCACTTACGTATTTGTTTTTGAGGCGGTGTCTTATTAAGTGGCCCAGAGTGGTCCCAACTTATGATCTTTGCTTCAGCCTCCCAAATAACTTGAATTACAGGTATGTGCCCATACTTGACTGGAGCATAGTTTTGTGATAGTGAAGTGTCTGTGAAGTGGTTTTAGAAACCATAAAGATTGTGGGTTTATTGTTATTATTATTCAGTTTTCCATTTGAAAATACTGTGGTTGTTACTGTACTTTAACAGATTAGAGGATTCCCTACAATCAAGATATTTCAGAAAGGCGAGTCTCCTGCAGACTATGATGGTGGGCGGACAAGATCAGACATAGTGTCAAGGGCCCTCGATTTGTTCTCGGATAATGCCCCGCCTCCAGAGCTGCTCGAGGTAAAGTACTCCCCCTGGTGGTAAGGAAGCTCCTGTCTGCTGTGAACCCTTTATCTGGGTGAGCTCTTTGCTTTTGACCGTGTGGCCCAAACTAGCCTTGAATTCACAGCAGTCTTCCTGTTTCTGCCCCACAAATACTGAGATTATAGGCATGTGCCCCAGTGATTTACTCCCTTTCTTTAATTTACTACTTTTGGGTATTAAAGAACCTCACCTAAGTAGAGTCCGTCACCTGGGCTGTTGGAGCCCTGCCTGGCTCTGCCCGGCTCTGGCCTGCAGTGCAGACGCCTCCAGTTCTCATAGCAGCACCTAGAGGGAAGATCACTCCCGCCTTCATGCGCTGTTGAGAAAACAGACACAAGAGCCTCGCACTGTGTGACTGCCTTGTGCAAAGACATGTGACCTATTTATTCAGCTGTGGCAGGCCAGGCTGTAACAGGGCATTGCAGTTTTAGAGACTGCTTAGGTGGCCTAGGAATGAATGATGGCATGCATTTCTAGAGGGTTCTAGATGGTATGTCTGGGTGATGAGACATCATGTAGAGATCTCTGAGTGTTGCGTTGCACAACTGCCCTGTCTTCGTGCAGATAATCAACGAAGACGTTGCCAAGAAGACATGTGAGGAGCATCAGCTCTGTGTCGTGGCCGTGCTGCCCCACATCCTGGACACCGGTGAGCACAGGCTGGGTCTCATGGCTGCCGCTGCCCTGCTCAGAGTACTTCCTAAGTAAACTGATTTTATTTCACCTTCCATGTTCTTGTCTGTAAATCAGGGGCTGCGGGCAGAAACTCTTACTTGGAAGTTCTTCTGAAACTGGCTGACAAATACAAGAAGAAAATGTGGGGGTGAGTCCTGAAGCTCAGAGTCTGACTCTGTGAACGGGGTGCAGACTTTCCTGCCTGTTTGTCTGCTTGTGCTTTGTTACTTACCAGTCCTGAGATACGCGTGATAACCTAAGTTTAGGTGACACAGCAAATCTGTGACTCAGTGGACGACAGCCTTGTAGGATCTGAGCGCACGCCCATCCCACGCTCCTTTCTAAGATTTGGATGTAACTTAGATTCTAATCCAAAAAGCGTCCTTACCCTAAAGCCAGTCTGCTTTCCCAGGTGGCTGTGGACAGAAGCTGGAGCTCAGTATGAACTGGAGAACGCACTGGGGATCGGAGGGTTTGGGTACCCTGCTATGGCAGCCATCAACGCACGCAAAATGAAGTTTGCTCTTCTCAAAGGGTCTTTCAGTGAACAAGGCATTAATGAATTTCTCAGGTAATATTTTCTTAGTTGTTTATTTTCTCATTTGTTGGGTTTTGTTGATTTATGTTGTTATGTGTCAACCAGGCAGTAAGCGGAACTAGTTTGCATTTAAAACATAAGCGTAATTGGCTGGGTGGCAGTGACACACACCTTTAATCCCAGCACTTGGGAGGCAGAAACAGGCAGATCTCTGAGTTCGAGGTCAGCCTGGTCTACAACAGTTAGTTCCAGGGCAGGCACCAAAGCTACAGAGAAACCCTGTTTCAAACAAACAAACAAACAAACAAACAACATAAGAGTAATTGGATGTTTATAAAGTTGAGCTTTTAAATCACTCTTCTTTCCTGTGGCAGGCGTCCCACTCTCCCTGCCTTGCTTGTCATGTTGCACACATGTTCAGGCCTCACTCTAACTGCAAGGTCTTCCAAGGTTTTGTGCACGTCTCACCGTTCCCACCCTTAGTTTGTACTTCGTATTGCTGACCTCGGGTCAGAACCCTTGGCTTTGGAATGTATGTGAAAATGAGGGTCCTCCTGTTGTAGGCAAACATGATGGGTTCTTAATTCCTAAGCCAGTTTGCAGAGCTCTCCATCCTGCCCCGCTGTTCACCTCTTCCTAAAACCCATTCCATCAGTTCTTGGGCAAACACACGCATTGACCTAGAGAGGTCGATTGTTCCTCTTCCTGCTTTCTTCCTTGTTCATTTCTCAGCTGCCGTGTGAAGTGAGGGTTTTTAACTTTCTGCTTAATAACAAAAGTTGGTGGCTGGCACTGTGCTGAGACTGCCCTGTAAGTGTGCCTGGGCCAGGGGCCACACTCAGGCTGTTGTTCTTAAGCCACGTAGACTACAAGTTGTGCCGTGCTTAATAACAGTGGGGAATGTTGCATTGAAAACCTTCCTATAAGTCCTATAATGTCAGTAAGACATGAAGTGAAACTGTACAATTCTTCAAGCTGGTAATAAGTAGAATGAATTGTTTTGTGGCCCTGGCTGTCCTGGAACTCACTCTGTAGACCAGGCTGGTCTCAAACTCACAGAGATCCACCTGCCTCTGCCTCCCGAGTGCTGGGATTAAAAGTGTGTGCCACCAGTGCCTGGTTTAGTAATGAATTTGTTTCTTTGTGTAATGGTTTTCTTAAAAGTATTCTACAAAAAATAAATAGCATAAAACTAAAGAACCCAATGTGAAAGACAGGTTTTAGCCTGACACGGTGGTGCATGCTGTTGTCTGTACACTCAGGAGGTGGAAACAGCAGGACCAGAAGTACAAGACCAGCTTGGGCTACAGTAGTCTCAAAATGTCACCAACAGAAACACTCCACAAGACAGCATTCAAAAGTCCAGTTAGAGCTGGTAGAGGCCAGAGGATCAAGAATTCTCGCTAGTAGTATTTTCAGTATAGATGTTCACGCCTTACTGGCAAACACTTGGTGTGTCTGCCCTCTCCAGCACCAAGCTGGCTAGCTGAAAGCATCACCTCACTAGTAATGTGCTTTTCGAGCTCATAGGCTTAGCAGGCAAGGGTCGTGGGCAGCTTTTGCTGAGTGAACTTATTTTTAAAACACCCTCTTGTGTTTTATTATTTTTAAAAAAAGAAAAAGAAAACCTTAGAAGTAGTGCTTGACTTTATGGATACACAACACATTGCATTTCGACAGTTTACTCATTGGAAATAACATCTAAATGTGTTGGGTATTTTTCCCCAAGGGAACTGTCTTTCGGACGTGGCTCCACAGCACCTGTGGGAGGTGGTTCCTTTCCTACCATCACTGCCAGAGAGCCCTGGGATGGGAAAGATGGTGAGGTAAGTGGCAGTGAGGGGCTCTTCTCCCAGCTTGTGTCTCTGAGTCTGGAAACCGCGTCCACCATAACCAGCATGCACCATGCCTGGCTGGCTTCGGTTTTAGAGAAAGACAGTTGTACTAAAATCTTGATTGGGGCTGGAGAGGTGGCTCAGCCGTTAAGAGGACTGGCTGCTCTTTCCGAGGACCCGAATTCAATTCCCAGCACCCACACGATGGCCTACAGCCATGTGCGACTTCAGACCTGGGGCATCCAATGGCCTTTTCTGGCCTCCCTGGGCATTTTGTGCACATGGTGCACAGACGTACATGTAGGCAAATACTCATACACCTACATAACATGTTTAGGAGTTTAGGAAACCACAATTTAAAGGTCAGGGGAGCTTGGTTTCATGCCTGTAATTTCCACACTGCAACACTTGAAAGGCTGTGGCAGGAGGATTGCCATGAATGAGGTCAGACTTGAGCTAAAGAATAGGGCCGTGTTTCAAAAACTCAGATAGAAAACTCAAGTGAGGCGCATGTGTAGAATCGGCTGTGAGACCCTGAGGTGGGAGGATTTCAAAGCCAGCCTAGGCTGCATTTGTCAGTCTTTGTCCTGCACCTGCCCCCACCCCCACCGCCTTGTCCAGGTTCTCTGGTTTCCCATCCATGTTATAATTGGTACAAGAGCCGGGCTGGAATCTGGAACCCTAGAATTTGCTTTTCTGATGAAACCGTTGGTCATTTGAGGCTCTAACATCACTTTCTGCCCCAGCTTCCTGTGGAGGATGACATTGACCTGAGCGACGTGGAGCTGGACGAGCTGGAGAAGGATGAGCTGTGAGCCGCAGCCTGCAGACTTCTTGCTTGGGAGCAGGCAGCTTTCCAGCAGAGATGGCTCTGCTCGGCGTCTGCTGTTGGCCTTTCCGAGCAGCACTTGCCAGCCCTGGAAACACTGCAACAGTGAACCTCAGCGTCTCAAGAAAACACTGAAGAATTCTATGAATTGTAGCCATGAATTGGATTGTATTCTTTGGCATATTTTGAAGAAAACTGGGCTGTTGAAACATTTTCCCCTCCTCCTGACTGCTGCTTGACTGTTCTTGGAGGCTGTTTCTTATGTATAGGGTTTTTAAATGTGATTCCTTTGTTTGAATATTAATGGCTTTTTCCATTAAAGAATAAAATGATATTTTGGACAATGCTGATAATGTATGAAATTAGTGGCACATCATACAATTGGAGTCTGATGTTTAGCCTGAAAACCAACCCTATGAGCTGACGACACCACCACTTCCCTGAAACAGTGTTTTTAAAATGAAGACAAGACCTTTTGGGAAACTTGGTACCAAGCCCCAAAGTCTTGTCTCGGGGCTTCACCAGTGACAATTAGGCTCAGGTTTTCAACATTCTCACTAATCTCCCATTAAAAGTCCCACGAAGACAAGAGCCGAGTTAGTGGGTTACCCTGTTTACAGGCATTTCGCTCTATGTAAAGCACTCAGGAGAAAGTTTGGAGTTATGTTAGAACACAAGAAGAAACTCAGAACTGAGCATTTTATTGTAACTTAAAAAAATAAATACACTCTAACTAATGTCTGTGAGTATCTCGTGAGTCAGGATCCTGCAGGGCTTGGTTATCTGGCTTAGAGCAAGGTCTGAGGCTGCAGTGAACCAGGCCGGCCACCTAGTCCAGGAGGCTGAGGTCAATGTGGAAGTACACGTAGGGGAAATAATCCTGGTTGCTGAGCTGCAGTCCAGGGATTTCCACAGAGGCCTGTGAAGGGAGCAATGCAAAGATGATTCTTGTTTTTAAGGGCGCTTTCTTGGGTTCTGGCCACACGCCCTATCCTGTGCAGTTGCCCCACCACCATCCTCCACCCCCTTGCTTAAAAGTATGTGACATCATACAGCCCTATGGTGGCAGGGCCCTTGAGTCCCCATAATACCTACATCCAGTAAGCTTGCTGCAGCAACCTCATCTAGATGCCGGAAGACAGAATTGAGCACTTCTCTCAGGCGCTTGGTGGCTGACTTTTTCTGGGGTTGCAGGAGCACAGCCTGGAAGTTCACTGGGAGTCCGTACCTGCTCCAACAAGATGACCATGTGGGGTTTAGGGTAAAGGCCATCTATGACAGCCAAAGGCCCAGTGCCCCTGTCAGGGGGTTCACAACTGCCTATAACTCCAGCTCCAGAGGCCCCTCCAGCCTCTGGACACCTGTGTACATGTGTTGCACACGTGGGATTAAAAAGTGAACGAATGGCTCACTGACACAACTGAGGAAAGCAGAACTAGAAAATGGTGACCAGAGACTAGGGGTAAGATACTAAGTCTCAGCGCAGTGCCAGCCGTCTCTGCCTGGCCACCTTGCATGCTGAGGTGGTCGTAAGTGTTCTATGTGCCAGCTGTTCTATGTGCCTACTAAAGGAGAACAGCATTAGCCATGTCAAGGTATAGTCATGCCTCTTGTTTGGTTTTGGGGTGTATGGAAAAGATTTTAAATCTGCCCAAACATTTCCTTCAGAATCACTGCCTGGGATGTCCATTACTCCAGAACACTGTTGAGGTGTATCACTGAGTCATGCCTGGCCAGTGCATCCAAACTGCGCCCCAGGCGAGTATCCTCGGGTATCTTGCTCTCATCTAGCAACAGGATTACCTACCTAGAGTCTGCTTTGGAAATGAGTCAGCTGGGACCTGTGGCTACCACCATCATGTTAGGAATGACTCCCGAACTTTCCCAGTCCTCACTCACTGTGAGCAAAGCAGCCCTGGAATGTGGCACTGTCCTTCCCAGTCTGTCTGCGGGGGCCTCTGGTGGCTCTGTTTTTGTTGGCCAGAGAGGCCCCTGTACTGCCTGCCCTTCCACAAGACAAGTGCCATATGGGCCAGTGGGATGCTCATAACATGCAGGCAAGCCCCTGGTGAGCGATGGCTCAGTTGATTGTCAGAGTCAGTGTTTGCCCTTCTATCCCACGCTGACCAGAGACTAAGTACCTCACTCAGCGCCGCCCCCCACCCCCGGTCCCAAGTGCAAGGATCATAGGCTTGAGCCACCACACTTCAGGGCCATCTCATCCTAAGTCCTACTGATCTTTTAGCTTTTCTGTCAGGGACACCAACCCTGCTAACCATCCTGTGACAGTTCAGAGAAACACTCTGCCAGGACGTGAGTTCAACTGCCCATCCTCAAGGTGACATCCAGGATGCCCACCCTCCTAGACTTCTCAGGAGAGAAGCTGCCTGCGATTTAACATGAACAAGCTTGATCACTGTCCCCTGACAGCCAAATCTGCACACCCAGTGTCCTGTGTCATTTATTCTCTAACCATTGCCTCCCTTTGGAAAGCATTTGCTGTTTGATTCTTTTTCCATGAATACACAGAATGATAGGTTATCTGAACATTAAATACTAGGACTGGGGGGCAAAACAGAACCATAAAAACCTAAATGAGCACACACCAGGATGTGTTTGCTTGTGGTTTATTCTGTGATGCTCAGGACTAAACTGGGGGCTTCAGGGGTGCCAGGGAGATGCTCTCTCACTGAGCCCCACCCCATCCCCAACAAGTGATTGGATTCACACCTGTGCTTGCCTATATGGTTTCCAAATTTTCCACAGTGGCTCTATTAATTTTAAAATGACAGAAGATGAGATAAAATAATGTTTGCATGTGTAGCTTTCCTCTTTCAGTGGGGAGCTACCTGGTGATCTTCCCTTGGGGGGTGGAGAAATAAGACAGTCTGGGGACGTCTTCCAGGAGGTCCTGGGGCCCTGCAATAGCACATAGGGCCTGTATAGGGTACACAGGTGGGGAAAGCAGAGCACACAAACAAGTCTGGCAGAAGAGAGCGAGCTCTGGAGAACGGGACACACATGGCCAACGGGGATTCCTTTGACAGAATGGAGAAGATTGCCAAGACACGGTCACAGAAAGCAAAAGGCAGGAGGGCTGGAGGAGAACAGGGAGCGGAGGAGTTTCCGAGCTTCCCCTCCAGGCCCTGCCGCTCACCTCTCCAGCCCAGGATACCCAGCACACACCTGAGCACAGACTCCACAAACACTCTCAGGGCCTTTATGTGGATCCAGGCAATAAAGGCCTCGCTGAAGTTCACCTTGAGCCAGCGCAGCAGAGGTCCCTGCAGAGACGGGAGAACGGCATGAGCCTCCGCACACTCTCCTGATAACGGCCAAGCAAGGGCTCGCTGTATACAGAGCAAGTCCTGCAACCAGAGGAAAGGGCCAGGAGCCAGCAGAAGCAGAAAAGAGCCTGGGGAGGCTCAGGACCACAGCATGCAGGTGCCTGGCACTGGGGAAGCTCCGGGGCAGGCACCAGCACATGCGAGAGGCCACCTCGGACCAGGGGTGGGAAGCTAGGCAGCTCTTGACCTCAAGACTGTCACATGAACTAATAGGTTCTTATCTGGCACTGCACAGCCAAGAAGCCCACCTCGTTGGAAGGCACTACCCTCAGGGTCCAGCCCACCCATCTACCAGCTGCACCTGCCCGGGGCTCTTCAAGCCTCATCTAGGCCGTAGCTATTGCTGCCGAGCCTGATGTGGTTGTTCCTTAGTGGCAGTCCGCCTCTGACACTTCTAACTGCTCGACAAGGCCAGAGGTGGTCCAGCCAAGGCAGTCAGGGAGGAATGCTGAGCGACCGAACCGCCTCCCTCCAGTCAGAGCCCTGCCCATCACCAGACACCAGCTCCAGCCACCATCAGCCAGGGCACAGCCACCAGCCAACCGACAAGCGCCATTCCCTGCCTAGAGAGCCAGCTCCAGGAAGACCATGAAGGCTAGGGCAGCAGGGTTCTGGGATCCTCCAACTTCAGACCTCACAAGCCATAGGAAACAAGAGAAAATGCAAAGATTTGTTCCTCAGCTGGGGAAAGAGTTGAGTCAGGGACCCCCCAGGGTTCCCAGGGGGTGCTTACCTCGCCCTCGCCCTCACTCTCTCTGTCTCTGTCGGTCTGCCCCGCAGCGGGCCTAGCAGGGTTCCCTAGCGGGGTTACCTTAACCTTGTGGTCCCGGTAGGTGGCTGATCCCTTTTTAAGAGCAACACAGGAAGTTTGCTAAAGGTACAGAAATTATTTATTAATCTTTCAGCAAGCATGCATCGTGAACACAAATAATTCTCATGGCCTGGAGAGCATGTGCAAGCAAGCTCTGGAGTCCGGGCCGAGATAAGGGTGTGGCTGAGGTTCAAGGCCTGTGATTTCAGACACTAGGGACAGAGCTGAACCTATGTGCCTGCTTGGGTCAGGACCCCAGCAGCAGCAGACAAAAACTGCTCCCGGAAGTATTACTGAACTATCCTGACCTAGGGAGCTCATCAATCTGGGCCCTGAGCCTCAGGAACAGCTTCCTCCGTGGTGTTCATGGGACACTTCAGCGTGTCACATACAGGGCATTAGTCAGGCATGCAGCCAGGCTGTTTCACCCTTAATCACCCTGTCTGCAAATGGGTAGAAAACACAGGGCAACTCAACTGTGTGTCCCCAGAGTAACCCGGTCCCTCGGTTCCAGTGACTCGGTAAATAAAGGATACGGGATGCTTGGCTGTATCTGCTCCCAACCATACCAAACGAGAGATTCCAGGGTCCTGGGGTGGAGGGGGTCCTCACTGAGCCTCTCTGAGGCTCCATTCATCAGCATGGGTTCTGAGTGTCTCCTGGGAGCTCTGTTTCCCACACACAAGGAGACTCTAGCAGGTTGTCTGGGGCAGTTGGGGCTGCAGAAGTCTATGCCATGTAAAGACACCACTGCTGGGAATCTGAGCCCCAAGGAGAAGGCGGCAGGCTTACTTGTGATACCCTGATACACAGGGTGGATGCCAAATGTCCTACTTCACCTATAGACAGGGCCCTCACAATCTGACTCCATCCAGGGGTACTGCAGGGACTCGGTAAGGGGAGGAAAAGCCCCACCTAAGGGGAAGGCTGGCATTGTGACGGACAGGGCCCCAAAGTCGAGGTCAGACAGTGAGCTGGGCATTTGATCTTGTTAGTGACAGCCACTCCTGCCAGAATGTGCCATGTCTATGCCATTGCTCTAAGGAGCTCAGAGCACCTTTAGGGACTCGGGGCCCAGGCCTCTAGCCAGGCCTTTCATCTTCAGGAGCCCTGGCTAGAATCCAATTGATTTGGGGTCTGGGCAGTGTGGGTACTGGCTCAGTGCCTACACATGGCATGTGTGTGTATGC